GTTGAAGGGTGCTGGGCCGAAGGCTCTTCTAATCGAGGGCTCCTACCTGCCGAGGGCTGTAGGTGCCGAAGGCTTGGTCTTCAAGCCTTGTTCTTCTGTGATGCCTCTTCTAATCGAGGGCTCCTACCTGCCGAGGGCTGACGGTGCCGAAGGCTTGGTTTTCAAGCCTTGATCTCCTGTGATGTTTCTGAGCTCGATTCCGTCACTGGTAGCCTTCGGCCATGGGGGCCGAAGGCACCCCTTTGCGTATTGTGGGCTGCTTAGAGCTCCATTTTTCCGGGCTTGGCCCGTTTGGGCCTGTTGGGCCTGATTGTAGTAGAGGAAGTATGTGGGCCGGGGGTCCCTGGGCCATATACTCCATCAGGAGTCCCCCACTCTTTTTGCCGAAAGGTACTTGAGGGAAAAGGAGTAGCTGTGGTGATTTCCCCGAAGGCTTCCCTGTTCTGTTGGGTGCCTCATTTTCTCAATTCCTCCATATGTCGAGGGCTGAGAGCTTCCTGAAGGGAGTGTAAGTGTGTTGCTCGTATGTGTTTCTTTGTTGTAGTTTGTAAGGTAATGAGAGATCTGCATTTGTGTGCTTTGCCGAGGGCATTTGTTGACTGAAGGCTTTGTGTGGCCGGAGGCATTCTGTAAGCCGAAAGCATCATGTCGAGGGGAGTAGATTGCCGTTGTGATCTCGCCTCAGCTTGCTGTAGCTGAGAAATAGAAATTTTTTAACATTTGCGTGTTTTGCCGAGGGGAGTCCCTCAGTCCCCCACTCCTTTTGCCGAGAGTTTCTCGAGGGAAACATGAGTAGAGTGATGCATGCCTTCAGCAGGAGCCGCCGAGGGGTGACGCCTTTTGTTTCACAATGGGGAGATGCCTCGTTAAAAACCTCATTAGGAAAAAATCCTGTGGGAAAAAAAATCCTAATGAGGGAAAAAGAGTACACCGGATGCCCCCAGAATGAAGCAAAAGGAATGCACCCTTCGGCCTAGATTTTTTAGCGGTGGTTGTGTCCGTCTGCTGAGGGGCTATCGAAGACCAGCCTTAGATCCTGCATGAAAAAGCTGAGGAGCTCGTAAGGACCCCCCGTTATCAAATAAAGGTGACGGAGGGGTGCAAGGCCAGGTGGGCCTGTGTGAGAGCCCCTGGCATCAAATACAGATGCCAGAGGGATGGAGACCGAGGGGCCTGTGTGATTGCCCCCGACATCAAATAAATATGTCGGATGGGTGAAGGCCGAGGGTCTGTATGATAGCCCCTGGCATTAAATAAAGATGTCGAAGGGATGAAAGCTAGGATGAGGGGCCTGTATGACAGCCCCTGGCATCAAATAAAGATGCCAGAGGGATGAAGGCCGAGGGACCTGTGTGATTGCCCCCGACATCAAATAAAGATGTCGGAGGGATGAAGGCCGATGGGCCTGTATGATAGCCTCTGGCATCAAATAAAGATGCCAGAGGGATGAAGGCCGAGGTACCTGTGTGATTGCCCCCGACATCAAATAAAGATGCCGGAGGGATGAAGGCCGATGGGCCTGTATGATAGCCCCCAGCATCAAATAAAGATGCCGGAGGGATGAAGGCCGAGGGACCTGTGTGATTGCCCCCGACATCAAATAAAGATGCCGGAGGGATGAAGGCCGATGGGCCTGTATGATAGCCCCCAACATCAAATAAAGATGTCGGAGGGATGAAGGCCGAGGGCCGTTGTGATGTGGAATCACGCTGAGGCTGAGGGCCGTTGTGATGTTGAGGCCGAGGGCCGTTCTGATGTTAGGGCCGAGGGCCGTTGTGATGTGGAATCACGCTGAAGCCGAGAGCCGTTGTTGATGTAGAATCACGTTGAGGCCGAGAGCCTTTGGTGATGTGAAATCATGTAAGGCAAAAACCGTTATGACATAGAGTCATGTTGAGGCCGAGGGCCATCTGATGTTGAGGCCGAGGGCCATTGTGATGTCATCACGCTGAGGCCGAGGGCCGTTGTTGATGTTGAGGCCGAGGGCCGTTCTGATGCTAAGGTAGAGGGCCGTTGTTGATGTTGAGGCCGAGGGCCGTCTCATGTTGAGGCCGAGGGCCATTGTGATGTCATCACGCTGAGGCCGAGGGCCGTTGTTGATGTTGAGGCCGAGGGCCGTTCTGATGCTGAGGTAGAGGGCCGTTGTTGATGTTGAATCACGTTGAGGCCGAGGGCCTTTGGTGATGTGAAATCATGTAAGGCAAAAACCGTTATGACATAGAGTCATGTTGAGGCCGAGGGCCATTGTGATGTGGAATCACGCTGAGGCCGAGGGCCGTTGGTGATGTGAGATCACGCTAAGGCCAAAACCGTTATGACATAGTGTCATGTTGAGGTCGAGGGCCGTCTGATGTTGAGGCCGAGGGCCATTGTTGATTTTGAGACCGAGGGCTGTTCTGACGTTGAATCATGTCGAGGCCGAGGGCCATTGGTGATGTAGAATCGAATTGAGGCCGAGGGCCTTTCCTTGATAGTTCCGGGAGTCCTTCGGGTGTATGTTCCTTCTTTCAGGCATCGACCGAGGGGGTTGATTCCCCGCCTCGGCCGAAAGGGGGTCCAAGTGATCCGTCCGGGGGTTCGTTTGTTAGTCCCCCGGCGCTGGGCCGTCCCTTGATTGTTCCAGGAGGTCGTATGTTAGTCCTCCTGATGTGTGTTCCTTCTTTCAGGCTTCGGCCGAGGGGGTTGCTTCCCCGCCTCGGCCGGAAGGGGGTCCAAGTGATCCGTCCGGGGGTTCGTCTGTTAGTCCCCCGGCGCTGAACCGTCCCTTGACCTTGGGGGGTCCCGTCGTCTATTTACGGAGCGGGCTAGGCTTGGTCGGTTTCCGACGACTGCTGTTTCACCCCCAAGTTTGGGGATTTCGTCACCTCAGTCATTCTTTCAGGCCTGTCGTCGTGCGTTGCGCGCCGGCGACGCGGCGAGCGTCCCGCTCCAAAAACGCGGGCCTTTTGCAGGCCCCTCATCTTTAGAAACCATCGGCCATACCTGGGCATTTAGCCTCGAAGGGGCCGATAAGATGTCTGGATTGTGTTGTAGTTTACTTAAATTCATAGAAATAAGCAGAATACAAGGGGTGCGTTGTTTGACAGCGGCTTTGTTAAGATTCACCGCTCAAGGCCGAGGGCTCTAGGGCGAGGGGATGGTAATGTGCCTCGAGGTCCCAAGGCTGAGACTAACGCCGAAGGCGAGGAACATGATTAGCGGAGGTGGCGCTTCTTCGGCTGGGGCTCCTCGAACTCCTCGTTGTCGCTGAGCCTCCCGATTTCACGTTTCTTTGTTGCGATGTCCCCTTCTTCTGTATCGGTATTCTCCCCTGTGTTTTTCCTTGGGGCATTTTTGATGAATTGGTGGAGCTCACCCCGTTGAATTAAGAGCTCAATAGCCTTCTTTAACGAGACACAATCGTTTGTATTGTGGGTTGTGCTTTTGTGGTAACGGCAATAAGACCCTCGCCGACCGAGGGTCCTTGGGGAAAAGGTCCTGCTCTTCCGCATAGTTGAGGATAGTGCTCACCGGGTGCGTGAGGGGAGTCCTCGGCATGTCCAACCGAGGGCGCCATTGGCGTTCGTTACGGCCCTGCTGGGTGTGGCTTCCATGGTCTCGGCCTCCGGCCGAGGGCGCATTTGGGACCGGCGTGTTGTTTGTCTTCTTTGAGGGCTGGCCCTCGTTCTTCTTGAAGGAGTGGAGGTCGTCGGCGTCGGCGTATAGGCTCCCCCGCTGGAGTGCTCTGAGGTATGATCTTGGGGGGTCGGTGATGAGGCTCCGTGCGTAGGGCCTGCTGCGGAGAACCCCCTGGAAGAGGACGAGGAGGGTACGCTCGTCGGCGCCCTCGACCTCGTCTGTCTCCTTCATCCACCGGTCAATGAAGGACCGAAGTGTTTCGTCAGGCTGTTGCTTGACGGAGAGGAGGTGGGAGAAGTGCTTTCTCGCACGCTTCCTTCCGGCAAAATGGGTGAGGAAGCGTTGAGCAAGATCTTGCCAAGAGTCAATGCTACCCTCGGGCAATCGGTTGAACCATTCGTATGCTGGTCCCTCCAAGGTGGAAAGGAACCAACGACATAAGTATTCATCTGATGCCCCCATCATCATCATGCTGTTTTGATACCTGTTGTAGTGCTCCTGGGGGTCAGTTTTTCCTTCATAGGGCTTGATGAGTTGCCCTCGGTACTTTTACGGGATTTGGGCCGCCGATACCCTTGGGGTAAATGGCGTCCTAGTTCGGAGTTGGATGACGGGTTCCCCGGAGCCTTCGGCAAATTTCCTTTGCATCTCCTCCATTTTGGCCAGCATGGCCTCATATTTAGAATCTGCATGGGGGGCAGAAGTGGTGGCGTGTGCTTTGGTGGCCTCCATCTCGTCAAGCCGGCGCTGGAGGGCCGCAATGATTTCGTCCCGGGGGTCCTTCGGGAAGGCCTCCGCCCCCTGCGAACAGACACGGGCCGAGTGGGCCTGGTTGATTTGGTGACGGGCGTCGTCGGCATGGAGAGGTGTCTTGCCTTTGTCCTGAAGGGGACGTCTTTCATTAGCTGTGACACTTCAAAAATTTAAATAAAAATAAAAATAAAAATAATTTTTATAAGTCAGATAAAAATACTTCGGTAATAAGAACAACATTTTAGTAAACAAGTGAACCAGACAGAAAATTTACATTTACGACATTTTTAGTCTGATAAAAGTGATCCGATAAAAGAAGTAACATTTTATATCAAGTATCAATTATACATATGGTATAAGAAGTAAAAGCTATATTTTAATAACCAAAAGATAAACTTAATACCTACATACTAAGAAGCGGTACACCCGATATATCACTCCATATACCATAAACTATCAATACGTATTAATAATATACAATATAATATACTTAAACTACACTTACGTAATACAAGTATATTAAGACTCTAACAAACGTTAGTTCTAAGAATTACACTTACGGAGGAATATATACGATAAGTAGGATGCTCTAACACAAACTCTTAGCTTCCAAGACCAAGTAGGAATGGGTTTCAAATTAAAACAAATCGGAGAAGCTTGAAAATTTAAAACCAGGACCTTCCCCTATAAATAGCAACCTTAACCTGCATTTTATTTACACCAAGAAAACGATCAGTTCAGCTCTATATATATATACATATATACGTATATATATATACTCTTTTTTTTCGACCATTCGTTTTAGCCCAAACCAAGCCCTTAAAATACTTCTCAAACCTTCCCCTTCATGAGACGAATCCAACGGTGAAAGAATCGTAGAAAACGGTCGTGAAACGAGGAAGAAAAGCCTCGCCGGAGTTTCGCCGGGGAAAAACATTTCGACGGAAAACGGAGAAGAGGGAGGAGCTGCCGCCGCCGCCGTACCACCTCTGACCTTCGCCGCCCTGCTACCACCATTTTCGGCCGTTCGCTCGTCCAAACGGAGTAAGTTCTTCCCCCCCCCCCCCCCCCCCCCTGTTGTTCCCGTTTTTCCGGCGATGTCACGAGGAAGACAACCCAGCTGAGCTGGGGTCCCTCTTGGGCCTAATTTTTTTTGGGCCAGAATAATTTAATTTGGCCCAGTTCGGCCCAGTTGCAATAAAAATTAAAAATAAAATAGTAAGTGAAATAAATAAAATCTGGAAAAATATAAATTAAATACTTAGTATAAATATACATATTCGGACCAACCAGAATTGGAAAATAAATTTTTTAGCTATTTTTAATGGATTTAATGGTAATTGGGCCAAATTATACACATTTAGTAAATAATTAACTAAGTGACGAAAATAATTATGAAAAAAATATTGGAATAAACTAGGATAAATATATGATTAACTAGGACCTTATGGACCATTTATAATTAATAAAAATAAGGATTAGTATATTTAATTGTAATTAAACCGATTAATAGATATATGAAATTAAAGGAATAATTATGGAAAATAATTATAAAATAAATATCTGGACAACCTAGGTTGAATATAGACCCAAAATATATTTATAGACGGTTACTAATTCATAAAGTCGATTCTTAGTCTATTTATTTAAATTAGGCCATATAAGACTAGTTAAGTAATTAAATAAGGAAATATTAATATTAATCGTGATTATTGAATAAAAATTTAGATGTTGTAGTTAATTATATTCGAATATTTTATTTAATATTAGAATTCAAATATTGTAATTAATGACTGAATTAATAAGGTAATTTGATTAATAAAAAGTGATTAACTCGAATAATTAATTAATTAATAAATTTGAATAAGGAAATAAAAAGGGGGGAAAAAGGATAAATGATTGAAATAGAATAAGTGACTAATTATATTATCTTAATTAAAAAGGTGAATACTTAGAGACCCAAATTGAAGAAGAGAATTAGGAGCATCGGGACTTAAGGTAAGTTTCACGTCAACCGATATTAGTTCTTTTTCTTCGTGATTTCTTTTACATATTTTGTGTGCATATTTGAGAATTGAATTTATGTGTGCTGAATTTGAGTGAATATTATTATATGAAAGGGTTGTATTGAGATATTAGTTGATATACTGTTTTGTTGATATGAATTATTGTATACGATTTTGGGATATTTTGTAATAGTACGTAATTTGTTATCTTTGTGAGAGTTTGATAAAAAGGGAATTTTTGAAGTATAAACTTCGATTGATTTAGAGAAAAATAAATATTTTCATAAAAGGTGAGCATCACGGGAGAAATCCGTGGTGTTGGTTTTCCACGTCCCTTAAAATGTGGAGGATGGTTAGGTCTACTACTACTCAATTTTTGTGGTTTTGGTTTGAGGTGAATTGACGGTCGGTAGAAAACATCCCGGCTTTTGAGTAGTAATGGTAGTAGTAGCTCCTAATCATTCAGGTTTTGAGGTGGGGTAGTTGGTAGAAAACATCCCGACTACCCGGATCGACTTACTAACCCGGAGGGCTTGGAATACCTTTAGGGGGTGTGCACACTTAAAGTAGTTGTTTCCGTTTCCAAGGAGCAGTTGTGGTACCGGCGATAGTTCCGGGGTGGCCGTACATAACAACGGACCACCGGGCTCAACCAAAGTGTTGAGCACCGCCCTTCTAAATTACTAGGAAGTTAGATACAATGTGATTTTGGGAGAAGTTCAAAAGGGGAGAATTTTGGTGTTTCATGTATTTTGGAATTAATATGGTTTACGAGTTAATTATGTGATTGAGATTTTAAATAGATATCGTTTACTTATGATTTATGATTTATAAAGTGTTTTGAAAAATATTTTATGAGGTTGTACGAATTTATATATATTATTTATTATTATTTTAAAAGGTTAGGTGGAACTTACTTAGCATTATTGCTAATGGTTGTTTTCTTTTATTTTTCTTGTGCTCGTATTTAACAGGAGGTGATCATGTTGATTTTGATGCTGCAATGTTTGAGAGCGCGAATTAGAAGACAACTATGTAGTTCACTAGAAATAAACTTTAATATTTACTTATGATTCGAACATCTTGATTTTTGTTAAACTCATGTTTTGGTAGATAGCCTTAGCATCCAATCATTCACGGATTGGATGTGGCGGTGACATGCCCCTTTTACTTAGTTTTTTATTAATTTCCGCTGCAACTTTTGAAGTTTTAATCATTAAATAAAAGTTCATCTCTATTTCAAAGTATTATTTTGGGTGGAAAATTTGGGGGTGTCACAAGTTGGTATCAGAGCCTTTAGGTTTTCTGAAGAGACTAGATCACGAAGTAATAGGTCGTAGGGAGAAATTCTGTCACAAAGACGATAACAGTCTAAGCTGGTTGGTGCCTAATTGAGCCTTTGCGCTCGTCCAACTAACTGGGAATTTCTCCTTGTGCTGAAACTTCGTTGTTCGAAATCGTTGACGAAAACCGTGGGAATCATACCTTCAAGAGGAGATCCTTTCAAAATATTTTTATCAAATTTAGGAAATGAAAATGATTAAGGAAAGACCTTTCTAGGGCCGCGGTGAGGATGATTTTGTATTGCTTCTATATGTTGAACAAATTTCCCAATACTTATGTGATCATTTGTATGTCGGATTACGTTATGATTTAATGTGCATAGGAGCTTGATTACTAGACAATACCTTAGCACTTAAGTACTTTTCTTTTAGAATATGCCGCCTAGGAGAGAAGTCCCCACAGCACCAACTAATGCTGAGCTGGCGCTGACCATGCAACATTTTGCTCAAACGTTAAGCACATCGTTTCTCCAGAACCAGCAAACCAGCAATGACGCCTCTAAGAGGGTAGCAGCTCGGAATCCACCGAGTTACCAAGGTCAAGAGGATCCTCTCATCCTTGAAGATTGGATACGCTCCTTTGATAAGTTGTTCGAGGCAGTTAACTGCCCGGCGGAACAACGAGTTGACATCGCCGCCTACTACTTGCATCAGGAGGCCGACAACTGGTGGGCCACTGATGGACCAGCCTTACGTCAGCAACCAAATCTTTCTTGGGAGTCATTTAAGGAGGCTATGAGGGAAAGATTTTATCCCGAACATGTCAAAGCAGAGAAATATGAGGAGTTTTTGTATCTCAAACAAGGAGATATGTCAGTCCAGGACTATTACGCCAAGTTTGTGGCGTTAGCTCGGTTCGCACGTGCTCTAGTTCCAGACGAGAACAGCAAAGCCCGAAAATTCATCCATGGCCTGAATTTCGACACTCAGAAGGCTGTAAGTGTGCTAGGATGCCAGACGTTGAACGAAGCCTATACGAAAGCTGCTCTTCACTATAGGGTTCAACGACTTCAACGTGATGCTTACAAAAGGAACAACAGAGGTGACGACGATGACCAACCACCAAGGGAGAAGAGAGGTAGACCCAATCCCCCTGAACAACGAACACAATGGCGGGGAGATGATCGCAATCGCAATCAAGGAGGAAGGAACTTCCAAGGGAAAGGTCCGACGGGTGAACGATATTATCATTGCAAGTTATGCCAAAAGAATCATCCTGGACGCGATTGTGCGGGCAATGCAGTGAAATGTTATGATTGTGGCCGGATGGGCCATAGAGCATATGAGTGTCACGTGGGAAAAGGGAGGGTTCCCCAGAACCAGGGCCAAATCAACAAGGGAGGCAATCCTGGAGGAAATAGGCCAGGAGGCGCAGAGAATCCTAACCACAACGCTCGTGGGAATGGGGGAAACCACAAGGGCAACAACAACACCCCTAACCAAGGCAAGATCTACGTGATGAATCAAGCTCAAGCTAATGCCTGCGACGTGGTTTCAGGTACCTTTCAAGTGAAATCCATGCCTGCTTATGTTCTTTTTGATTCTGGTGCTTCTCATAGTTTTATATCTTCAAGCTTTGTTAAGAAACTGGGAATAGAACCCACTACTAGAATAGAATTGAATGTAAAAACGGCAGCTGAAAAAGTTGTGGCTTGTGGGAATGTGTACTCAAATGTACCCATACTCATAAGTGACACCAATCTCCCTGGAGACTTGATTCAATTCGATCTAGAAGACATAGACGTGGTGCTTGGCATGGACTGGCTCGGAAGATACAAAGCAAAAATTCTATGTGGCGAGCAGAAGGTAGTCATGAAGGGACCGAATGGGAAGAGAGTATCCTACAAAGCTGTGACCACCACCCCGGGAGTAAAGTTGGCAACCATACAACAAATAAAACGCTACATTCGGAAGGGATGTGAAGCATACCTGTGCGTAGTCAAAGACTCAAAGGTGGAAGAAAAGACCATTGACCAAATTCCCGTGGTCAATGAATTCCTGGACGTGTTTCCTGAAGAGATTCCGGGGATGCCTCCAGAAAGAGAAGTGGAGTTCTCTATTGACTTGATGCCCGGGACTGCACCAATCTCGAAGGCACCCTATCGAATGGCACCAAAGGAGATGCAAGAACTGAAGGAACAACTTCAGGATCTGCTGGAGAAGGGTTATATCAAACCAAGTGTCTCACCCTGGGGCGCTTCGGTGTTATTTGTCAAGAAGAAAGATGGAAGCTTGAGGTTGTGTGTTGATTACCGGGAACTGAATCAAGCAACTATCAAAAACAAATATCCACTTCCGCGCATTGACGATCTGTTCGATCAGCTGAAAGGAGCAAGTACGTTTTCCAAGATTGACTTGAGATCCGGTTATCACCAAGTAAGGATTGCCGAGAGGGACATTCCAAAAACGGCATTTCGAACGAGGTACGGACATTATGAGTTCACTGTAATGCCGTTCGGCTTAACTAATGCGCCTGCGGTATTTATGGACCTAATGAATCGTGTGTTCCGACCCTACCTCGATTTGTTCGTGGTGGTGTTCATTGATGACATTTTGGTGTACTCAAAAACACCGAATGATCACGAGGAGCATCTCAGAACGACACTTCAAACCTTGAGAGACAACCAGCTCTACGCCAAACTTTCAAAGTGTGACTTCTGGAGGGATCAGGTAGCATTCTTGGGCCACATCATCACCCAAGAAGGTGTCTCGGTTGATCCATCAAAAATTGAAGCGGTGATAGGTTGGCCTGCACCCACCACGGTGACGGAGGTTCGAAGCTTCCTAGGTTTGGCTGGGTATTATCGAAGATTTGTGAAAGATTTCTCAAAGGTAGCAAGGCCTTTGACCAACCTCACAAAGAAGACCACTAAATTCCTGTGGAGTAGCGAGTGTGAAGAAGCTTTCCAAGAGCTGAAGCAGAGGTTGACAACCGCACCAGTCTTGACCCTACCATCCGGAACAGAAGGGTTTGAGATTTACAGCGATGCTTCATTGAAAGGGTTAGGTTGCGTTCTGATGCAAAATGGAAAGGTGGTGGCCTATGCATCAAGGCAACTGAAGACTCACGAAGTCAACTACCCTACGCATGATCTAGAGCTAGCTGCGGTGGTTTTCGCCTTGAAACTTTGGAGACATTACTTGTACGGGGCACAATGCAAAGTTTACACTGATCATAAGAGCCTCAAATACATATTCACGCAAAAGGAGCTCAATATGCGGCAACGGCGATGGCTAGAACTTGTCAAAGATTACGACTTAGTGATTCAATACCATGAAGGCAAAGCTAATGTCGTGGCAGATAATCTAAGCCGTAAGTCGATGCATTCTTGTAGAGCAACATGGATCCTACCCAACGAGCTATGGCGAGACTTCCAAAAGCTGAGTTTGGAAGTGAGAGAATTCGGGGAGGTGGATAATGAGGTACAGTTATGTTCCATGACTGTCACCTCATCACTCTATGAAGAAATAAAAGCGGGACAACCTGGAGACGTGAAGTTGGAGCGAGTCAAGTCCGGAATGATAGACGGAATCAATGGACCATTCAGGATGCATGATGACGGTAGTATTCGTTATAAAGGCAGGTGGTGTGTCCCTATGAAATGTGAGCACGTCAAAAAGCAAATCATGGAAGAAGGACACAACACGCCTTATTCGGTACACCCAGGTGGGGATAAATTATACAAAGACTTAAAGAAGAATTTCTGGTGGCCACGAATGAAGAAAGAAGTGGCGGAATTTGTAGCGAGATGCCTTAACTGCCAGAAAGTCAAGGCTGAGAGATGCAAGCCCAAGGGACTCATGCAACCCTTAGAAGTGCCAACATGGAAATGGGACTCGATCTCGATGGACTTTGTCGGAGGGTTACCCCTAACAAAGTCTGGAAAAGACAAAATTTGGGTGATCGTCGATAGACTTACCAAAACTGCGAGATTCATTCCCATGAATGAAACTTGGAGTATGGATAAGCTGGCTAGAGCATACATCCAACACGTGGTCAAATATCATGGTGTGCCCCGAGATATTGTGTCTGATCGAGACTCCCGTTTCTTATCACAATTCTGGAGGGAATTGCAAGCGGCTATGGGGACCAAACTAAAGCTAAGCACTGCATTTCATCCTATGACGGACGGACAGACGGAGAGAACTATCCAGACACTTGAAGATATGTTGAGAGCTTGCATACTAGACTTGCAGGGTTCATGGGATGAACACTTAGACTTGATAGAGTTCTCGTACAACAACAGTTACCATGCAAGCATCAAGATGGCTCCGTACGAGGCTTTATACGGTCAGAAGTGTAGAAGCCCATTATGCTGGAGCGATATGGTGGATAAAGTGGTACTAGGACCGGACTACCTCCAAGACACCATGGACAAAGTGAAGATGATTCAACCAAGGATGAAAGCTGCACAAGATCGTCAGAAGTCTTATGCAGACTTGGGGAGGAAACCAGCCGAATTCGAAGCAGGGGAGAAAGTCCTACTCAGAGTCTCCCCGACCAAGGGAGTAATGAGATTTGGAAGGAAGGGAAAGCTAAGTCCGAGGTTCATTGGCCCATATGACATCCTCGAGCGAGTGGGAAAAGTGGCATATCGTTTAGCTCTACCCACCGAGTTGGCTAAGGTATAACATACTATAACCGCTCGTTAGTGAATACCTTACTAAACTTCTCTCAAATACTAAAGTGTGTTATGCGTAGGTACACAATGTCTTTCATATCTCCCAATTGAAGAAGTATGTCCACGACGAATCCCATATTCTTAGCCCCGAGGTACGGATCGTAACCTTATGATAATTAGATCAAAGTATCACATCTAACCTCGACTTTCTTAGGTGGACGAGTTGGATGAATCGTTGACTTACGAGGAGAGGCCGATCCAGATTTTGTATACTAAGGCTCGTGAGACTAGAAGAAAAGCGGTTAAGATGGTGAAGGTGTTGTGGTCTAACCATTTGGCCGAAAATCCCACATGGGAGACTGAGGAGGAGATGCGCAAACGTTATCTAGAGTTATTTGACTAAGGTAAAAAATTTTAGTTACGAGGACGTAACCTCTCTTTAAGGGGGGTAGAATGTGATACTTAAGAATTTGATTATTTATTTTAGTTTATGTTTCGGGACGAAACATCTTTTAAGGAGGGTAGAATGTGACACTTCAAAAATTTAAATAAAAATAAAAAAAAAATTAATTTTTATAAGTCAGATAAAAATACTTCGGTAATAAGAACAACATTTTAGTAAACAAGTGAACCAGACAGAAAATTTACATTTACGACATTTTTAGTCTGATAAAAGTGATCCGATAAAAGAAGTAACATTTTATATCAAGTATCAATTATACATATGGTATAAGAAGTAAAAGCTATATTTTAATAACCAAAAGATAAACTTAATACCTACATACTAAGAAGCGGTACACCCGATATATCACTCCATATACCATAAACTATCAATACGTATTAATAATATACAATATAATATACTTAAACTACACTTACGTAATACAAGTATATTAAGACTCTAACAAACGTTAGTTCTAAGAATTACACTTACGGAGGAATATATACAATAAGTAGGATGCTCTAACACAAACTCTTAGCTTCCAAGACCAAGTAGGAATGGGTTTCAAATTAAAACAAATCGGAGAAGCTTGAAAATTTAAAACCAGGACCTTCCCCTATAAATAGCAACCTTAACCTGCATTTTATTCACACCAAGAAAACGATCAGTTCAGCTCCATATATATATACATATATACGTATATATATATACTCTTTTTTTTCGACCATTCGTTTTAGCCCAAACCAAGCCCTTAAAATACTTCTCAAACCTTCCCCTTCATGAGACGAATCCAACGGTGAAAGAATCGTAGAAAACGGTCGTGACACGAGGAAGAAAAGCCTCGCCGGAGTTTCGCCGGGGAAAAACATTTCGACGGAAAACGGAGAAGAGGGAGGAGCTGCCGCCGCCGCCGTACCACCTCTGACCTTCGCCGCCCTGCTACCA